GACATCAAAGTGCACAATATTAAAAGGAATAGTGGATCTTATATTATTCAAAGGATTAGAATTTCTACAACGTTTAGTAAGTTCACAAGACTCGCAATAAAGAATGGATTGACTTGTTCCTTTAAATAATTCCAGGAACAAAAGACTTAAAGAAGAGAAAGATAAATGACCCAAATGATAGTGATATAACATGACACGGCTCATAGAATCTAACACAATGGATCCAAAAAGTTGCTTTCTGAAGAGGTATTGGGCTTTGCTCCAACACATCTAATAGGTATATCCCATTCACCTCATGGTCACTCCCAATCACCTTCTAATATTTCATGTTCCAAAAAACACAATAAGTGGGAAAAAAGGTTATGCAACAATTTAATGTTTTTGACAAGCTACTAATAAAAAGTATGTGAGGGAATCTAAGATTCTAATGTCTCCCATACCAAAATGAGAAGAAGGGATATTTTATCTAAGCTAGAAAGAAGGTGATAAGTATTAAATAAATGGGAAATATTGGTCGTGTGATCAAAAGCACTAGAGAATGATCGAAGGAATCCTTTGGTTACCTGAGACAATGACAAGATTTGCAATGGCACAAATACCTGAGTGGGCAAATGCAAATGATGAGGTACTACCAAAAGGAGGTGTTGCAACAGTGGCTTATAGCTGGCCAACAATCCTTTAATGCTTCTCAAATTCTGCCTTTGCAACTTCAAGTTGTYGCCTTTCACATTCCCATTCTTTTTTGTTACTGTCATTCTTAAATCGTGCAGGTATCGAATTCATTGCAACTTCCAACATGTATTTTTTCTGTGCTTGGGCTTCTTGCAATACTCACAAACTATATCCTTCTTYTCATTAACAAACTTAGGTTTAACCCCGAGATGTGCAAAGTGATCAACCGTAGTCTCTAAGATCTACACCTATCTTCTGCTCTTTTCACTATTTACCATAGCATAGGCTTGAGACAAAGATGCATCATCTTTTGATAATATATTTTGTCTAGTGATATCATACTCAGGGTTGAGCCCAAAAAGAAACTTAAACATCCTATTCCTCTAACATTTTATAGGTCTCAATGTCCTTGGTACTCTCCAAGACGACAACCTCAATTAGGTCAATCTCCTACCAGAGATTTTAGAATTGAAAAATACACTTCTAAGGGTTTCGCCCCTTGTCTATGATTGTTCACATCATTCTTTAGTTTATAGACTCTGGGCACATTTGACTTTTGAGAATAGGTTCCATTAACACAATCTCATACTTCCTTGGCTATATCCACCCATAGGTAATGCTAGACAATATGGGGCTGCATAGAATTCACTAGCCACCATATAACAATGTAATTCTCATGTGTCCACTTCTCAAGATTAGGATCATCTTCTTTAGATTTCTTCTTACTACCTGACAAGTACCCCCACTTGCATCTACTGCACACATGAATCTTCACTGATTTTGATCAAATGAAATAATTGGTGCCATCTAGCTTTACTGTGGTCACATCACCCAACAAAGATTCCAAAAAGGCTCCCAGACCAACTCCAGGTCACTATTTTGTTTTATTTCAACTCCAAATGACTCCATTTATCAAACAAAAACAATTATAGTCCAAAACTAAGGTCTTCCAACACTTAGGAAGCAAGAAAGAAGCAAAAGGCAAGGTTTCAACTACCCAGCAACCAGGAAAAACAGAGAAAACCCAATCGCTCATATCAGTGAAGCCAAAGAGCTTACCAACTTGGATCAATCTCTGGAAGGATCCCCTTGATCCTAGTAGAAGATCAAGACTGTAATCAGTCTTGAATCCTAATAGGTTTTAGGTTTACAAAACAAAAGAAAGGTGAGAGAAAGGAGAGAGAATAGAAGAGAAACAGGAGAACACAAGTGATTGAAAAGAGGGACAGATTCTAACAGATCTGCCGCCGCCACTTTCTTATTATTTATAGGTTATGTTTAGTACATAATGGAAAGGACACATCTA